GACATATTTGTGTTTTATTAATAGTGGTACCTAGAAATCCTTTGTTCCTTCCACAAATGGTGCTAAAGTTGATATGCATCCCCATAGCTCTTGATTTCAGTGTTATAGTTTTTGAAGAAGAACACAGAAAAAAAGCCTAAGTCTTTCTTGAGTATTTGTGTTTTCAAATTATATTACAAAAACAACAGGCACTTTTTTTTTTTTTGAGGCAGAGTCTCAAGCTGTTGCCCTTGGTAGAGTGTTATGACGTCCCAGCTCACAGCAACCTCAAACTCTTGGGCTTAAATGATTCTCTTGCCTCAGCTTCCCAGTATCTGGGACTACCGGCGCCCACCACAACACCGGGCTATTTTGTTGTTGTTGTTGTCATTGTTGTTTTGCAGGCCCAGGCTGGGATGGAACCTGCCAGCCCCAGTGTATGTAGCTGGTACCCTAACCACTGTGCTCTGGGCACTGAGCTGACAGGCACTTTTAAGGCTATGAAATAGCAAGACCATTTCTACAAGCCTTTTGATTGAATTTTATGGGTAAAAAGTACAATGCAGGAAGATTGAAAGCCTTCACAGAGGCAATGGACTGTGGGCTATAGCAGCAAGTTAGAAACTTGCCATACCCTTCTCATGTGTTCCCCCATAAGCCTTGGGGGAACAAATGTTTATTTGTTATGTTTATTTACCATTTACCATTTATTTACCATTATTTTTCATTTTCTCTTTCTACTTGCTGGTTTGATAACTCAGGAAAGTGGTAGATTCTTTCTCTGGACCTCTTTTTAATAGTAGGATTAATTCTCATCTGGCATAAGAATGATGTGTGAGTAAAATGCAGGCTTGGTGCCCACAGGTTATGGCACCAGCCACATACACCAAGGCTAGAAGGTTTGAACCCAGCCAGGGCCAGCTAAACAACAATGACAACTGCAACAAAACATAGCAGGGTGTCGTGGCAGACACCTGTAGTCCCAGCTACTTGGGAGGCTGAGGCAAGAGAAACGCTTAAGCCTAAGAGTCAGGTTGCTGTGAGCTGTGATGCCACAGGACTCTACCAAGGGCAACATAGTGAGACTCTGTCTCAAAAAAAGAGAAGTAAAATGCAGTAGTATGGAGTTCTCAGTTGGTGAACTATATATAGTCTTGTTAGAGAGTTTGTCAAAATGAATTATAAATTGTCTCTCTACCCCTTGGAGATAAAAGGCTCCTGAGTTGCCCTTAGATGGCTTGAATCCTAATATAAAATGCATATAATTGAAAAACTCAATTCAGTTCAAGTTGGCAGGGGAGGAGAGAGGGGAACAGGGAGGAAGAAGGGGGATTGGTGAGTTCCCACCTAATGGGCACAATATAAGGGTACACGGCACACCTCCCGGGTACAGGACACAACTGAATGTTACCTAACAAGTGCAAACATTGTGACCTAATGGTTTGTACCCTCATATTAATCTGAATTTTTTTTAAAGGGAGAAAAAAATACATATAATTTTTAAGAATTTGTGATTTCCTAGGGTTTTTTTTTTTTGACAACCCCACAGATGAATGCTAAGGATTTGCCATCCCTTCTCCGTCTCTTTTTGCCTGTTGGAGGACTGTGTAATCTAGCATGTTGCAAGCCTTGGAACCAAACATGTCCTATACTGTGAAGCAGGGACAGCAGTCATGTATAGATGCAGACATTAACACTGGCATCAGATCAGGGAAGTTCCTATCCATCTGCACAAGGCTGGCGTTGGTTCTTAGCTTTTAAACTTTTTTTTCTCATTTCAAAGAGTATCTTGGCTGAGCACGGTGGCTCACGCCTGTAATCCTAACACTCTGGGAGGCCGAGGTGGGTAGATTGCTTGAGCTCAGGAGTTCAAAACCAGCTTGAGCCAGAGTAAGGCCCCATCTCTACTAAAAATAGAAAAAAAACCCTAGCCAGGCATTGTGGCAGGCTCCAGTAGTCCTGGCTATTCAGAAGGCTGAGGCAAGAGGACTTCTCAAGCCCAATAGTTTGAAGTTGCTGTGAGCTATGACACTATGGCACACTACCCAGGGCAACAGAGAGAGACTGTCACAAAAAAGAAAATAAGAAAACAAAGAAAAAATATCTTGTTACTCTCTGACAGAACAAATCACAAATTTCACTGGATATTAGACAGCGTAAAAATCTCTTTCTACCTTTGATGTCTTAATCCTTTTCTTATAGTAGTATCTGGAACACTGCCTTTTGAAAACCGATAATAATTTGTAGGAGGTAGATTATAATTAAGTAAGAAGATAATCCAATTAATGTATTACTGATTAGTTCTTTACTAAAGAAAAAAAAAAGACAATTTGAATTTTCTGTTCCAACAGGGGGTTGCCGGTGTCTTTAGCACTGCCTACCACTTCGTCCACAGCCGGGAGCACATTCTCCACATCGTGATCACCGGCATCGGCTGGCTCTATAATAACATCACGTCCAGCATCGCCTCCATCACTACTTACCTTGTGGAGCCCAGCCCAAACCAGGTGGGCAAGGCTCAGCCGTGTTAGGCTTCTCGGAAATAACAGTGTTTCCAGATGTTATACTCTTGATAATGTTTTAAAACCATATTAATTAGCTATTAGGATAACTGGGGTTCTTTTTCCCGTGACCCCAACTCAAGAACTGTGGTTGTGATCGGAATCTACCCCAAACTGCCTTAGGCAAAGGGGAGACTTGACTGACTCACCTACCAAAATGACGAAAGGGGAGGAGAAGTCAAGCTGGCTTCCCAGTTGACCAGATCCAGGGATTCCATGCACTCAGGGCTCTTGTTCTTTATCTCTCTGCTTCTCATGTTTACTTGTGTCTGCATTTTGCCTTTGTCCTTCCAGCTAAAAATGGGCTCTCTCCACAGGGCAAGTCAGATGTTTAGTGGAAGCATCAGTAAAAAGTTCCAATTTGGAAAACCCAAGAGAGGAAACTCTTTTTGACTCATCCTGAGATGTGTTCCTTTAACTGGGGTGGAGAGTTTGCAGAACCTGGCAACACCCACCAGAATCATGGGCGATGTGGGAAGGGAGGAAGGACTGCTGGTTTAGAAGGATACCATTACATCACACCAATATTTTCTACAGGCACCCTGTGTGATGAATCCTTGCTGAACATTTGCTTTGCTTCTCACCTAACTTTAACTTTAGGATTTTCCATATCATGAGAATGGATGGAAAGGTACCTTCCTTTCAAAAAGGCTGATCGATGCTGGGAGGTGCCTGATGGGGTAGTGATGTCGCTTGGTTGGCTCCCAGTCTGTTGGCTCCCAGCAGATCCCTTTCTGCTTCCTTCCTGGCTTCTTTTAGCCAAGTGGGCCCAACCTAATCTTATGAGGCCCTAAGAACAGAGAACCCTTTCTGGCTGTGATCGCTCAGAGATGAGGGGGAACAAGAGAAGAGTCAGGGATATGGCAATTTTACATTCCATCGCTAGCTCTGAAATGCACAGGGCTTTGTCCAAAGACCCAAGGTCTTTACCCACTAAGGGCATATAACAGCTGGTAAGAAAACCAAGACTTCAGTTTTTTATTTTCCTCTGGTCGTGAGAAAAACAAATGGCTCACATGTGTGCCTGGTTTGCTATCTTAAGTGACAGCATTACAGGATTTTTTTTTTTTTTTAGACAGAGTCACAGTCTGTCACCCTCAGTAGAGTGCCATGACGTCATAGCTCACAGCAACCTCAAACTCTTGAGTGAAAGTGATCCTCTTGCCTCAGCCTCCCTAGTGGCTGGGACTACAGGCACCTACCACAATGACCAGCTATTTTTGGAGACCCCAGCTCAGGCTAGTCTCGAACTCCTGAACTCAGGCAATCTACCAGCCTCGGACTCCCAGAGTGCTAGGATTATAGACATGAGCCACAGAGCTGGCCTTGAGAAATGACTTTAATCTTTATAAAACAGCTAAGAATGTGGGGGTTGAGAGAAAATTTATGATCTTGGTCTGGGGAAGATGGCCAAGATGGAACAATTATGAGAAGGTTGGTACATTGACTACATAAAAATGTACAATTATCTAGCACCAAAATTATAAAGAAAATTAAGTTGGCCTCTGAGAGGCCAGGGCAGGAGGATCCCTTGAGCTCAGAACTTTGAGACCAACCTAAGGGAGAATGAGATAGGAGTGAGACAAGTGAGACAGGAAATAGCTGAGCGTTGTGCCAGGCACCTGTAGTCCCAGCTACTTGGGAGGCTGAGGCAAGAGAGTCTCTTAAGTTCAAGAGTTTGAGGTTGCTGTGACACCACAGCACTCTATAGAGGGTGACATAGTGAGATTCTGTATCAAAACAAAAAAACACAGTTTAGTAGACTAGCCTAAGCAACATAGCCAGAACCTGTCTCTGCAAAAAATATAAAAAGTAGCTAGGCAGAGTGATCCATGCCTGTAGTCTCAGGTACTCTGTATGCTGAGGCAGGAGGACGGCTTGAGCCCAGGAGGCTGTAGTGAGCTGTGATGACAGGTGCTGCACTCTACCCCCAGCAATAGAGTGAGGCAAGAGAATCTCTCGAGCCCAAGTGTTTGAGGTTGCTGTGAGCTATGATGTCACAGCACTCTACCCAGGACAGCTGTCTCAAAAAAAAAAAAAAAAGTTGGGGAGAACACTTAAGGTCACAGAGTATAGATAGAAAGCATTTCATCTTCCAAGCACCATTCAGCATACAGACCCTACAGATTATTTTATCACAGTTTCCTTTTTATTCCAAGTAAAGGAATTATTCATAAAAACCCCTACCCTCATTATTTCTCCCAATTGAATTTCTCTGTCCTATAGTTTAGTGTATTTTACAGAATATGTTAATACTGCTTTCTTAGAAATAAACTAATCTCAGGCTGGGCACGGTGGCTCATGCCTGTAATCCTAGCACTCTGGGAGGCTGAGGGGGTAGATAACTTGAGTTCAGGAGTTTGAGACCAGCCTGAGCAAAAAGCGAGACCCCTGTTTCTACTAAAAATAGAAAAACTGAGGCAAGAGGATTCCTTGAGCCCGAGTTGGAGGTTGCTGTGAGCTATGATTCTATCCAGGGTGACAGCTTGAGTTTCTGTCTCAAAAAAAAAAAAAGAGAGAGAGAAATAAGCTAGTCTCTACCAAAAAAATTTTGATCAACACTCATTAAAATATCCTCACAGCCCATATGTAGGTTATGACCTACAGTTTGAAAATCTCTTAGAAGTAAGGGAGATAAGGAGGGAGCAAGGAGAATGAAAAAGAGAGTTTAGTGAAATAGGAGGAGAATCAATATCAAGGTCAGGTGTGGTGGCTCATGCCTGTAATCCTAGCACTTGGGGAGGCCGAGGTGGGTGGA